CTTGCCCTTGGTACCTTCATGGCTAACTCCCACTTCCTTTTAAGGCCATATTCAAATGTACCTCTCTTATCTAAGCTATAATAACTACCCAGTTCTAAACTGAAATCTTCGTTCTCCTCTATGTTTTTTTCTCTACAGAAATATCAGTTTCCTGAAAAAGCATCTTTCTTGGACATCCAGTGTAGAAGCATGACTGAGCAAGAGTCTCCTTTGCTGTTCTCTGAACTCCATCTCTGTGTTTGCATCTAAGCTGTGTTTCCCAGGGGCTACTCCCAGCCAGTCGTTGAATGTGACAGGAATACTAACATCTACACAGGAGCACTCTGATAGTTGCCCTTGGCTCCAGGACTCCCAAGTACCATGGCCAATGTCCCTTAGACAGCACTGCAGAATCGGCTGCTCCCACACAACTTTTCCTTCCACTGAGATTCCCAAACTGTTCCAATTTCAGCCTTTCTGCTTAACTCCCAATTTTCTTTCATATGTTCATTTCTCATAACAAGTGTTGTACACACACTTTCTTGGTGTTTGTTTCTGAGATGGTCCAGAATAACACAATCACTTATCTGTTGCATATTATATCTGTCTTTTATTGCTTACTAGAATATGAATTTCTAGAGAACAATAATTTGTTTATTTAAGAATCCGAAACACCTGGCACAGTAGTGCTGATGGGCATTCAGTAAACAGAGTGAATGACTGAAAATGCTTAAAAAATATTATCAGCTTTAACAATATTAATTGTGTGAATGGATAAACAGATAATCCTTATCAGCTCCTGTCTAAATTCCTCTGACTTGCCTCCCCTGTCCTGCTAGAAAAATCTTTGTGTTTTCCTACAGCAGAAGTGAGATCTGGGTGGTAAATTGGTTTTAGAAAAAGATCCACATTATTAATTGGGTGACTGCCCATTGGTTTGGGCAAGCAAATGCAGAATTCTGACAGAGATATTCGTGGCTGCTTTCTTGCCCTTTGCATCAGTCAGGACCTACAGTAAAATAAACAAAATCAAAAACTTTGAAGATTTAATCTTTGGGTTTTTTTCTTTGTTTAAATATCCATCCAATAATAATCGAATTTGATCCCTGCCTAATTCAGGCTGTTACTCTCTACTCCCAAATCTCTCTCAAAAATAGAACAAAGACCAACTTTTCTCAAGTATAATCTCAGACTCTTTTTGAAATGTATTTTTAATCATGTGTATGTGGTGGGTGCACATGCCTACAGAGGCCCTGGTATCAGATCTCTTGGATCTGAGGTTACAGATTATGAGCACCCACATGCATGCTGGGAATCAAACTGAGGTCCTCTGGAAGAGCAAGACATGTTCTTAACCACTGAGCAATCTTTCCAGTCTTTGAACTCTTTTTTGTTGTTTTCCTTTGTTTAAATTTTAAGTTAGCTTACAAAGTAATGTATTCCCATACAGGATCCCAATTTATTCTGGTTTGTTCCTTACCTCCACACCCCCTACCCCTGTCTCTCTGACTCCCCTTCCTTACAGTACCTTTTCTTCCACAGTACTCTCCCATTCCACTTAGCTTTATTTTCTTCTCCATCCTCTTTTTTCTAGACCCATGCGACCTGTGGTGGTTTCAGTAAAAATTACCTCCAAAGGGGGAACACTCCTCCACTGCTGGTGGGAGTGCCAACTCCTACAGCCACTTTGGAAATCAGTATGGAGATTCCTCAGGAAAATAGGAATCAGTCTACCACAAGACCCAGCAATTCTACTCTTAGGCATATACCCAAAAGATGCACATTCCTACAACAAGGACATCTGCTCAACCATGTTCATAGCAGCATTATTTGTAATAGCCAGTACCTGGAAGCAACCTAGATGCCCCTCAACTGAAGAGTGGATAGAGAAAATGTGGGACATTTACACAATGGAGTACTGCTCAGCGGAAAAAAAAAACAATGGAATCTTGAAATTTGCAGGCAAATGGATGGCACTAAAATAAACCATCATGAGTGAGGTAACCAAGTCACAAAAAGACAAACATGGTATGAACTGACTCATATATGAATTTTAGAGATAGATCAGGAGATTGCCAGTCTACAATCCCATTGCCAGAGAGTCCGGGAAACAGGAAGGACCCTAAGAGAGATATGCATGGTAACCCAGAGAAGGTGGAATGAGGCAAGATCTTCTGAGCAGATTGGGAGCATGGGGGGAGGGGAGAGAAAGACAGGAAAAAGAGGGGGAGAAGAGGAGGGGAGAGGAGGACATAGGGGAGCAGGAAGGTTCAGTTGGGGGAAGAATAGAGGATGAGAGATACCATAATAGAGGGAGTCATTCTAGGCTGGAGGAGAGATCTGGCACTAGTGAGATCTCCAGAGATATACAAGGATGACAGGAACTAGGCAAACTAAGCAGTAGTGGAAAGACTACTTTATACGCCCCTCCCTGATAATGATTTTGATGAATATCTTATATACCATCCTAGAACCTCCATCCTGTAACAGATGGAAGCAGAGGCAGATACCCACAGCTAAACACTGAACTGAACTCCTGGAACCCAGTGAAAGAGAGGGAGGAGTGATGAACGAAGGGGTCAAGACTTGGCTGGTGAAACCCAGAGAAACAGCTGACCTGAACAGGGGAGAGCTCTTGGACCCCAGACTGATGGCTGGAAGGCCAGCATGGGACTGATCAAGACCCCCTGAATGTGGATGTCAGTGAGGAGGCCTAGGCAATCTATGGAGCCTTGGGTAGTAGATCAGTATTTATCCCTGGCATACAAATGGACTTTGGGAGCCCATCCCATAATGAGGGATGTTCTCTCAGCTTGGACTCTTGGGGGGAGGGCCTAGGCCCTGCCCTGGATGAAATGACAGACTCTGGAGATCCTCCATGGAGGGCCTCACCCTCCCTAGGGAATGGAATGGAAGTTGGGTGGGGGGCTGGGGAGCTGGGAGGAGGAGGGGAGGGAGAGGGAGCTGGGATTGACATGTGAAGCAAGCTTTTTCTAATTTAAATAATAAAAAAAGAAGAATGACCTCCATAAGTTCATACAAGTGGATGCTTGGTCTGAAGTTAGTGGAAGTGTTTTAGGAAAGACTAGGTGTGGCCTTGTTGGAAGAGGTGTGTCACTGGGGATGGGCTTTGAGTTTTCTATCTGCCTGTAGTCTGGGAATAAGATGTAGGCTCTCCGCTACTACTCTAGCACCATACCTGCCTGCTGCCATGCTCCCCACCATGATGGTCACGAACTCACCCTCTGAAACTGTAAGCCAGGCCCCAATTAAATCATGCATAAGTTGCCTTCACCTTGGTGTCTCTTCTCAGCAGTAGAGCAGTAACTAAGACAGAACCCTTTCTAGTTTCCACATGCTTGCCCATAACAACTCCCACCTGTATACACATAGCTAACAGTTAGACATGCATGCCCATATTAACTCCCATCTGTATACACAGTTAACAGACATGTTTACTCATATTAACTCCCATCTCTATGCACATAGTTAACAGTTAGAGGCCACGATTCCCACGTGAGAGAAAGAACATACAGTATGTGTCTTTCTAAACCTGGGTTACTTTACATGAAATAATGTTTTCCAGTTCCATCCATTCCTATAAATTTCATAACTTTGGTTCTTTTTATGACTGAATAAATCATCACATTTTGTTTATCCATTCATTTGTTGACAGATGTGTGGATTCTAGTTCCTTGCTACTATGAAGTGAATTGCACTAAGCATGGATATACAAGTATCTTAATAGGAGGACATGGCATCCTTTGGGTCTATCCCCAGAAGTAGAATAGCTGGATCATATGTTAGTTCTATTTTTATTTTTACAAACCTCCACACCGATTTCTACAGTGGCTACATTAGTTTACATCCCCACCAACAATGTACATGTCCCTCTTCCCCACATATTTACCAGATTTGTTGTCACTTGTTTTCTTGTTGGTGGCCATCCTTGTTGTTTTAAATTTGTATTTCTGATGGAAACAGATGCAGAACACTTTTTAAAATACTTATTGGCCATTTATATATTTTTTGAATTGTATTTATTTTGTTTAGAATATCGCCTCATTTGTCAGTTATCAACTTTATTTCTTTGGTGTCTGATTTTTGCCATTCTTTATGTATCTAGGTATTAAACCCCTTGTGATTTCAGATTCTTGAAAGTGATGAGCTTCCTGTGCAGGTGACTGAATCAGGGTGTGGCCTCTGTGGTTGGGAAGATCGGAATAAAAGTATGAAGCAACCTTATTTCACTAAGCTCTGTAAATTTCTCCAGAATAAAATAACATAGGATTCTGCCTAAAGTTTTCCATCCAGCTGGTAAACATCCTGGGAGGTTGGTGGAGGGGAATGTTGGGGTCCAACTCCCTCATAAAGACTGATTTAAACTGCAGCCTGTGTCTCTCCTTGTCCTGTGTCTCTCCTTGGGCATTGCTTAATGAATGCCTGTTACAAAGTCAGACAGCTGACATTCCCATCCTGGCTTTGCTACTCATTAGCCGTGTGGCAAATGATATCCCTGAGCCTGTTGCCTCATTTTAAAATAGGAATAATAGCACCTATCACTCAACACCTCGAAGATAAATAAGACGAAATACTTTTGTCTATGGACAAATATTGGCTACTACTATTTCAAATATCAGAAACACAAAGAAATGTAAGCCACGCATTCAGTGCCAAGCGTCTATTTAACCTCTCTGGCGGAATGGCTGTGTTAAGAGGGATGATAGCATCCAAACAATAATAACGTGGTGGATAGTAATTGGGGTTCACTACATCAAACTGCACCTAAAGAATAGGTAGGGAAAAGATAACAAAGTCGTTTGCAGAGCTTCCTGGCCTCTGCTTTGTTTGACCTGAGTTTCACCGGGCTTCACTGCCTCCCTCTAAAGGGTAGGACGGTCCACCTAGGGTTACAGAATTTCTGGTCACACTTTCACAGGCTCACTCCTCTCTCTTGCATAACTGCGGAGGTCAAAATGGGCACTTCCCGAAACTGAAGAGTGTCAGTTCTGAATGGGATCCAAAATAAAAAAAGAGCTGCGTTCCCCAGACATCCAAGGATGGCACCAAGAACTCCCAGGGAGCCAACTTTTTAATACCGGTGCCTTCACGCCTTTGATTTTTGCAACACCTAAGATTCCAAGGTCTGTGCCAGAAGGCAGGGGTGGGACTTTGGGAGGGGAGGGAAGCTTAATGTAAATATTCTACCATCAAGAGTTCCTAGGTAACTTACTACAGGAGACACCATTATTACCTAAAGCCAAGCAGAGGGAGGATGACAAACAAGTGACATGACATTTCTGCTCCAGGCTCTCCCCTGTCTCTCTCTGTCTCTGTGCCTCTGTCTCTGTGCCTCTGTCTCTGTGTCTCTGTGTCTGTGTCTCTCTCTGTGTCTGTGTCTCTCTCTGTGCCTGTGTCTCTCTCTGTCACTCTGTGTGTGTGTGTGTGTGTGTGTGTGTGTGTGTGTGTGTGTGTGTGTGTGTGTGGTAAACTAAGTGAGGTAACTTTTAAACACAGACTCACAACACACAGGTTGTGCTGCGGGAACCCTGGCGGCCCTGACCCTCCGCACGCACACAGCAGTTCCCCGTGCCACTCCTGGAAAATAATGACCTGGATAAGGAACAGTTAATAAGAAAATGTGCCTCGCTACCCGTGCGCAGAACAACAAAGAGCTGGCAGCCCCTGAAGGAAAAGGGCTTGTGCGGCTGCCGTTCAAACTTGTCAGTCAACTCGTGCCAGCAGCCTCAGCGTCTGCCTCCCCAGCACACGCTCATTACATGTGTCTGTCTGGTCTCATCTGTGCCTCGGCTCAGAGACCTCCTGACGAGCCGGGATTCTCTTCCTTTCTCACTGGTGCAAAGAGCGGATTTCTCTCCCTGTGGCTCCTGTCACCTCCCGCTCCTCTCCCCAAGGAGGCACCTTGATTTATGGTAGCTCGGGACTTCCATCAGCGTCTGCCTGTCCTTGACGTCGAGAATGGAAGAAGCTGAGCTGGTCAAGGGACGCCTGCAAGCCATCACAGTAAGTCTGCATAGAGTTTTAAGTCGCTGAGGTGGTTGCTTAGATGAGCGGCACCGTTGCTCGCCGTCCTTCAGTCCTCACAAATGGAAAAAAGGAACTGTCAGCCTTCGTGGACTCCTCTCTGTTTCTCTTAACCCTTGTGACCATCTGTGACACTGGGGTTCAGCACCTGAGATCAAGGAAAGTGTTTGTGGATTTTACAGATGGCATTTGCGTTTTAAACAGCAATCAAAAGGCTTTTGGGGTTTCTGGTTGCTTTCTTGGTTGTTTTTTTAAGTACTTTGCAAAGCCTTACTCACCTTCTGGGGATATAGAAATGGAGTTTTTCCTTCAAGTTCCTTCTGTGTGACAAAAAATTTAGTGGATACTCAATCAGGAAACTTTTCAAAGCAATGTATATAATGCCCAAAGTTATTTTTTTTAAGGAGGAGACCAAAAAGGAAGAAAATCTGAAACTTTCATTCTTGGTGTCATAGTATATTCCAGAAAACCTAGCTGAATTAAAGCAAAGCTTGGTAAATTCTCAAGCGAAGAGTTAAACGGGAGGAAAGTAGGGAAGGCATACACGAGAGTAATTCTCAGAGATCAGTTTTCCAGGGCAAACATAACCCGAATAAGATCTCGATAAAGGAATGCCATGAAGATGGATTGGAAAATATTTCCCTAATGCCAGGAAGAAAAGTAGTACATTTTGTGTTTATTCTGGGAAAGAGTCAAAGCAAGAAATGAATTACTTTTCTTAAGTGATATATTCTTTTTCTTTTACTTCCAAAGTGTCCCAAAGTACCTAGCAGTAGCCTGGAAGGCCATGGCCCAGTCATCGATCATCATTAGCTGTAACTGGTGATAGCATTTTTTGAAGAAAAGCAATTTTACAAGCCCACACCCCTATGTGTCACTGAAATTAACAGTTAAAAAAAAAAGTAAATACTTTTTTCAAAACGGATACTAAATCATGGAAGGCACAAGGTTATTCCACTTTGCTCTTCAAATTCTCATATTAATTAAGCTAATTCTAACTTAGGAATTTTTTTTCTTACTAAGTGAACATAGTAGGGTTTTTTTTCTTCTACCCAGAAAGGATTCAATGATTAAAAATATTTCTTCACCAGTGAAAAGAAACTAAGAGTCCACAGATAAGATTGGGCACTTTTCTATCGATGGTACTTTTTTAATTTCTGAATTCTAATTACTGTATTTTTCCTTTCATCAAAAAAACCTTGGCCTGGATTTTTGTTTGTTTTGTTGTTAAATCCAGCCCCGGTTTCAGCTGTCCTCCTTGAAGGGACAGGAACTCCACTGTGCCCTGTTGTTCTTGGCATGGGCCTTTCACATTACAGCTGTCGCCTAAAGGTTACTTCACTGCACCCAGTTGTTCAGGACTAGGGTTCCTTTTTTTTTTCCCAAAGAGTCCATCTCCTAAATAACCAGATGAAACCATGTACTCAAGGAAGCGCGCCTCCTCTTCTGTGTTTCTGCTACTGAAGTGGGGAACATCTTATTTTAAAGTCTTGTTAGATGTGGTGTGCAGCTAGACCATTTAGCAAAGTATTGCATGGTCCAACAGATGGCTGCATACAGTTATTCAGAGAACCTAGGAATTTTCATTGAGGGTTCAAATGCAAACCGAGATAGAAGGTAGGTCAAAACGCTTTAAAAACGATTGAGTGGGTTGGTTCCTGAAGATGGAGATTTTTTTAATTATTAAAAATAACATACTTTTTAATTATCTGTGAGCCTAAAGATATCCCATTAGAGTTAATTAAGTCTTTGAAGTAAGGTCACAAAATTTAGCTTGAAAGTAAAATTCTTGCTTAAAGCCCGTAGGGCAAAAGCTGGCAAAAGTTTATAGGAACAAATTTCCATTAGCCTGCACCTCACAGGGCTCAGTCACATTTGTCACCACCTAGAGGGGAAATGAAGTAGTGCTGTGTCCATGGAAACAACACAACCGCTCTCCTCCTGGGCACCCTGGGAAGTGCCAGCATTCTCCACCCTGGCCTTGCCCAGGAAGCCACCCCCGCTATGCTTTCTACCTAGGAAAAGAAAACACACAGTACACAGGGAACTTTCAAGAATTATCTCACTTTTTGAATGGCATTAAAATGATGGGACCCTGATTTAGACTGAAACTCAGAGACAACCCTTTAGCCATTCTCCTACACTGAAATAATTTCCATATACATCAATGACAGCATCAAAAGCATTTTCCTAGGGCATCAAGACACAGCAACACACAGACTTCATTTTGTTAGGGAAGAAAACAAAAACATCCTTGACACTGCAAGAGCAGTTTGATTTTTTATTAAATTATGATCTTCTAACTCCCAGAAATAAAAAAATAAGCTCCATTATTATACTGACTCCACAGAGCTTCAAGTGACTAAAAAGGCATTCTTTTTACTGTGAATAATTGAAAAAATCATCTGCATATGATTGGGCTGAACCAAATGACAGTATTAATTTAAGAATATTTTGCCGGGCAGTGGTGGCGCACGCATTTAATCCCAGCACTCGGGAGGCAGAGGCAGGCGGATCTCTGTGAGTTCGAGGCCGGGCTGGACTGACAGCCTCCAAAACAATACAGAGAAACCCTGTCTCGTAAAAACCAAAAAAAAAAAAAGAATATTTTAACCCTGTGACAACACCATTCATTTCTCACACCAGCAAACATAATTTTAAGATTATTCGTAAATTTTCTCAGAGATTTAAAAACAATGCCAGTGAAATTATGAATGTACTCAGAAGGAATGGTTTAAAGGACGGCATGTCAGTCTGGATGCTCCAAATAGACTCTTTTATTAACTACATTCACATTCTGCCTTCATCACTCCACCCTGTAGCAACTCTCCATTTGCCACATTGATGACCAAAATACTCATTTACATTCCATTTCCAACTGTTATTTGAAAACAAGGCAACTTTACACTGACTAAATATTATACTTTGACCCTCAAAAGTTTCTTGATGCTATTTTCAAGTTAGTACACATTTAACAAATAGCTGATGTTTTATACGGACAAAGAACTGTTGAAATAAATTTTTGATCCCCCCTCCTTTTTTTTTTAAATGAAGCCCCATTGTTTAGCCCTGGGTGGCTTAGAATTCACCATGTGGACTGGGCTGGCCTTGAACTCACACATATCTGCCTGCTTCCACCTCCAAAGTGCCATGATTAAAGGTGTGGGCTAGCATACTCAACTTGAAATTGATGTTTAGTGCTACTGGGAATGGTGATATCAAAGAGATCTCTACAGAGTTACTATATGGAAGTAAATACAGTTCAAAGTTAAGAATAGGGAAAAAAAGTCTGGGATGGATTCCTAGAGAAGAGAGAGATCCCCCTTAGATGAGTAGCATCCAGTCAGTCACATCCGCTTCCATTGGGAACACATTGCCATGTCTTAATTCCTCTGGAAATGTCAGAAAGTACAACACCTAAAGTAGCAGGAATCAAATGGAAAGACTCCTGGATCCTAAACATCTGGTGATTATAGACTTGGGAACTCAGGTTGTTTCTGGGAAATGTTCTGATGAATTCTGAGAACTAATGTCAATTTGCAGAGAACAGATTCAGTTAATGAGTTAGCTGGTCTGTTTATTCTCCCTGAAAGGGTTAACTTTGATGGTTAAGGATGTGCGTATCAACTCATTCGTGCACACCTTTATTCAAAGTCTAATCATATATTGAGTCTAACGCATTTAATTTGAAAGTTTTATGAGGAGAAGTCAGGGGCGTGGGGTGTGAAGACAGAAAGGGGCTGCAACTCCAAGTGGAGTGATGGAGTGGAGTGCTTGCTTTGGGAGGGTTGGGCCTCCCAAGAAGGGTAGCACCTGGGCACGGGCATGAAGGAGGTGGGCTCTGTCAAGAATTAAACCACAGCAGGAACCCGAAGCCAAAGCACCTGCCTAGGCCTCCCTCCATCTGGCTCAGGGCCACAGAAAGTCCTGACATTGCAATCTGAGCAACGGAGCCAGATTTGCAGGCCAAAGCTGTCCATGACGCAAAGTAAGAAGGTTCTCTCACATTTCCCTGGATCCACTCCCTATTTCTCTCCACTCCCAGTGAATATTTTCTTGACTTGTAAATATAGGAATTTAGGAGGCAGGAAGTTCTTGCAAGAAACAGAGGAATTCTCCCCAGATTAAAAATACATTAAAATCATAACTTAATACCAATTCCCGACAGCTCTTTACTTAACGATCCCTGTCCCTGGGCACCCCACTCACTATGGTCTTTTTTTGTCAATATTTGGGATCATCTAACAGTCAGTGAAGAAACTGATCACCCAGAAGCAGGATGTCCTGTTGAAATGCCAGGGTCCCAGTACATAACCAAAATGCAAGGACCCAATATTTGAGATTTCAAGGTAGTGACACCAAAATATTAGATTCATACCTGGCCCTTTCTGGGTACAGTGTATCTTGTGGCTTCATGCTCCACATGCTCTAGAAGCCATTCCTGTTTGTGTATTCCAGGCCCAGCATATTCAACATCCCTGTTTATTCTCCCTATGCAAAGGAAACATACCTCCTAATTGTGTTTGGGTCACTATAGGTCACTGTATTATGTAGAGACCCAAAGACATCTTAAGGCACCAGTGTTTATAGGAGTGTGTAAGGCAACACTGTTAACCAGCATACTTCCAAGTCAGACATAGCTAAAACAACAGTGTCCAGCTTGTCAGGAGTGTGAAGACACAGCAATCTCCTAAAGAGCCCCTGAACCAGAATCTTCAAACAATCATGCTCTGAGTCTTCCATGGTGTTGTACCAAGATTACATGTTTCTTCCAGAGTAGGAGAGGTTTCTTCAAACAAATGTGCCATGTTTCTTTGCCAAACATAACAACCCACCCATACAGAAGGTCATGTGATGAGGTACAATAATCTTGATAGCTCATTAAGGAAACTTCTTTCTGATCGTGGGAAGGTTTTTCCAAGATCCTCTACTGACGGAATTTTCTGGACCTCCTAGATGGATAGTCTGAAGAAAAATCT